CTGCTTAAGTTTGCCAACCAATGGTCTAATCACTTCCCAATGCTGCCCACAGGGAAAAACCAACACGTCTCTACCTGGTAGTCAAGACCTTAGGGTTTTTCCTAGCCCAGCTGGTCAGCTTCCCCAACCCAGCAGAACCTTACCCCACATCTGCTGCTCAGCCCACCAAGTTCCAGAAGGGGCTCAGGCCCCGCTCTGCACCTCATCCTCAGGCCTGGCCTTGGAGTCACCTCTCTCCAGAAGCCCCCAGCCCACCTGGCACCTGCAAACTGCTCCGCACGACAGTCAGACTTACTGCCGGGCACTTGCTGGCACACAAGGGCTTCCAGACAGCACTCTGGGCACCTTCCTCCCCATTTACTACAAACTCCTCAAGGGCAGGGCCATTCCTATGCACCTGAGCATCGGGCCATATTCACAGCACCAGGCACGAGGGCCATCAGGAAATGTTTGCTGACTGTAGAGACGGATAAAGGGTGATGGGAAAGATTAAATTTTTTTGAAATGAAAAAAAAAAAGCCTCAGGAAGCAAGTTCTGGTTCTCATTCCAACTCTGCCACTACCCCTCTGGGACAAGTGCCTTCCCATCTCTAGGCCTCAGTTTCCCACCTGGGAAATGCACCATTATCCTAGTTGCTTCTATTCTACTCCCCCATTGAACAAAGCCAGCAGAGCCTTACCCTCGACCCTCTTATCTATTATCAGGGATGCACACATGAAACCAAAGAGGCCCTTGCTCTCACTCTTCTAGGAAAAAGAAAGACGACAAACTGAAATTACTATATGCCAGACACTGAGTTCTATACATAGACTTTCTCATTCACAAATAAATAAGATTATTTCAGAGGATGACAACTGTATAAAAAAAAATACAATAGTTTTATGACAGAAAGTGAAAAAAAGGGGCTACTTTGCATAGAAAGGTCAGGGAAGGCCCCTCTGAGGAGGTGACATTTGAGCTGAGACTTGACAAATAAGGAAGAACCAGCCATAGAAAGAGCCAGAGAAAGGAGTTCCAAGCAGAAGGAACAGCATATACAAAGGCCTCAAGGAAAAGCCAAGCCTGGCAGGGAAGAAAAGCAGGGGCCATGGCTACACCGCAGTGAGAGCAGAAGTAAGGTAGTTCCAGGGGACTCAGAGAGGGAGGCAGACAAACAACCTCTAACAAGTCTAAGGTGCTCAAATCAGGTTGGCCCGACCCAACCCAGGACATCCGGGCCCAAGTCACAAGCAGCACTGGGGGTAAGGGTATGAGTCAGACCCCACGGCTTCCTGGGGCCCCAAAGGACTGGTGTGGGCATAGGGGCAGGCACCAACCCTCAGCATGAGTGCCATGCCATACCCACAGGACACCCACGGGTGGGGGGAAACAGGGTCACCTAAGTATGTAGAACACAGGACTCTCACGGCTGCCGCTTTCAGAGGGACTTGATCAAGTGCTTCCACGAAGCGCCAGTCCCCGATGACATTATTTTTCCCAGGACACAGCAAGGACAAGAGCCTTGGTCAGTGGAAAAGGAACAAGATCCAGGGTTCAAAGCTTACTAGTTTGGGGCCAGTCTTAACCTTTTGGGCCTCAGTTTCCTCACCTGAAAATTGAGGCTACTAACAGTCATGATCTCCTAGGATGGTTGAAAAATTAAATGAGATACTGAATGTAAAGCACCAGGCCTGGCACATGGTAAGTGTTCATAAATGTAAGCTGTTATTATTACCAGTACTGGTTGCTCACTGCCTCAGTTCCCTCTGCTGTAAAATAGGGATATTGATACAACATCATAGGATTGCTATAAGTCTGTACTAATAAATACTCCAGCTTCCTAATACAACATCCATTGTCGGGAATTAAAAAAAAAAAAAATGCTGAGAGTCCCCTTTCCTGACCTCTCATCAGATGCCGAATTCCCCTCTATCATACCCCACTGTTTGGAAAGTGAGTAAGTGCTGCTTAAATTCCATTTTGACTATACTGTGAAATAAAAATGATGCATTCGGAATCCACAGCTTCCCCTGCGCTGTCATTCTGCAAGGGGGTGGGGATGGATGTTGCAGATTCTTCCGCATCGTCCACAAAAGTCCCGCCCTCCCAACCAAAACACAATCTGTTGCTCAGTCACATAAACACGTCCATACACACGATTAACGAATGTATAATGCCATCGCTTCCATACACATCAATGTATGCACACAAATGTCCTACAGTGGAAAAGTCACCCATACGGAGAAACTCCACACGCAAAATCATTCCCAGGAATTCACTTACAGATACCCCGCACATGCACACAGATGTAGTCTCCAACACTGTGCAAATATGGTCAACAGTAGAGCGGGGGACTCGGAGACAAATGCCAGCTTTCAAATCCTGCAACCCCCTAGCTGTGTGACCCCAGTCTCCAAGCGCCTCGGTCGGGAGCAAAATGGGAACAATAATACTAATACTCATTTTGAAGAGGAATGTTATTTTCCTCTTCATTACCCATGCACACCGCTTCCAAAACTGGCCTCCCCCAGCGGTTCTCAACCTGTGGGTCGCGACCCCTTTGGGGGTCGAACGACCCTTTCACAGGGGTCGCCTAAATACAGCCTGCATATCAGATATTTACATTACGATTCATAACACTAGCAAAATTACAGTTATGAAGCAGCAACGAAAATAATTTTATGGTTGGGGGTCACCACAACATGAGGA